AAGGGAATCGCCAATAATTGACGATTACTTAGCGCGCGATACAAAGTTTCGGTCGCTTAGCGCACAGATTAGCAATAACAGGTAGTCTCGAAGGAGAATACCGATTGAACTGATGCGATAGTCAGTCTAGGGTTGAGTATTAACTTAAAGGATAATAACAGTGTATTAAATGTTGCAGTAGCACTACAATATTACAATATGTTACGAATTGTTAGGAAAAATAAAATTAAAGGTACCATTTCGACCTCCGCCACTCCGAAATCCTATAACCAATATGTTTGTTTTGCCCAGATGTCGTACTAATCTTGGGATAAATTTGCCAATTGTAAGAATGTGCAATGCGTACAATTATTTAAACGCGAAGAATTTTGGAAATCTGGATATATTTCGTATAAACAAGCACATTTTAAGAATATTATAAATAAATGTATGGTATAGATTTTCGCAAATAAATATATATATTATATATATATATATATATGTATATAAGATTATTACATTGAATGCTTTGTGCTTAGCATTTTATTGTTAAATGTAAATTTGTAAAGGTGTTAATTGTTATCGAACATGGAAATTATGTAAATTGTCTCGTATCTCTCAAGGTAGTTAACATAAAATGGCAGATGCTGTGGACACATATTATATTTGTATGTACTAGATTAAGATATTATGCATATTAGTGCTTAAGACGTTATTGTACAATACATTGTTTGTGTTCCTTAAAATAAATAATTAAATATGGATATGAAAATATGTAGCTTGGCAGCAACAGACAAGTAATGAACAGTGATTTTTTTTTTGCGAAATAAATTTTTCACACGGACGGGACGGTAGCGCAACCGCCAAGCTTCATATTTTGAGTAAGGTAGAGAGTTTATGAAGTTTGGGCTTGTAGAGTTAGGGCGTGTAGAGTTAGGGCGTGTAGAGTTAGAAGTTTGGCTCATGAGACCTGATAACTTTTTGACAGTGTGAACCATATGGTCTTGACAACATTTACATGAAAATGTTTTTGGGTGGGGTTTTACTTCTTTTGCAACTTGCTTATGACAATTTATTATTCATTACAAGGTCTCTATTATATCAATCTTTAGACCTACATCATCAAGATTTGAGGCAGTCTCATACAAACTTCCGTCCCCTAGTTTAAGAGGTTCTGGGATAAAAGTTCCGAGTTGTAGATTATTTTTGTTGTTTGTATACTAATACTAACTTACAAACCAAATTTCAGCTTTTTAGAACTTCAGGAAGTACCCTAAGAATTTTGATTTTCATAAGTGAGTCAGTGATGACGTCGAAGTATTTCAGGTCTCAATAAAATCTAAAGTAGCTATGTAATTGAAACTTTATATGTTTAATAAATCTACTATCGACATCATATCCTGAAAATGTTCTTTATCTGGTATTATCCAAACCCATACAATATGTATATGAGAGTTTAAAAAACAACGATGCACTTCGGAAAAGGTGGGTGGTGCCCTTGCTTCGCTTGGCTCGTCTTGGCGGGAACACTGCCGTGCCCACATATACTTATAGGAGAAAAATTGTGGATTCAGATGAGATGATGATTAGGAAACGTAAAATCATATTTTTTAACATTTACTAAGTTATGATAGGAATAGTTTTATTGTTAGTAGACATAAAGTTTCTTTTATTTAAATTATTTAACCTTAAGAATTAAAAATAACTGCGAGCCTGATAACGTTTATAGGCGACACTGAATACTAATATTTTTTATCGTAATTCGTATAATAACTTTTAGCTGTGGTTCATTATCTTTTTATTATGTTACTTTATTATTTTTTCCTTTTTTAAGTTTGCAACTTGTTTACTGCTTAGCTGTTCAAGCACTAGTGATTTTGGGAGTAAAAATGAGCTTTTTGGTGTACTAGCATTTGTACCTAATTTAATTACAACCTTATAATTTCTACTGCTGGGCATACATTTTTCAAAAACCTTTACACCCAGTCTTTTATTTCGAATACTAACAATAACGCTGACAATTAAATATTAATATAAAACCGGTCAGATATCCAGTGTCGCTACATATTTAGAATTTAAAAAAAGGTTGAGCTCTGCTGTGGTCGCCGTATATAATATGTAAGGTCTGGTATCTGACCTACCATCTAACAGCCAACAGTCATTGGGTGGGTGCATAGCCGACTTTATGTCACAAACTGTCGTTCTATCCTATAGATTGTATTAAAGTGAGAGGAAAGATTACCTACACATTAGAAACGAAATATCAACATGGTGGTGAAATGGTATTCTATGAATTTTATTTCACTCCGAAAGTCTCTTCAAACACGTTAGGTATAAAACACGATTGACCCGTGTACGTATCTGTTACTTTTTGGCGGGTCTGGCAAGGATTTATACATTTTTAACGACACAGCCAATCACAAGTCTAAAATACACAATGTTACATTTTGTGACACGTAAATGAATTTGTTTTACTACAAAAAAATGAACAACATTTCATTTCAATGACATCGTCACGAAACAGTTTCATTATATTAAATAATGATATTCGAAAACGTTCAACCCTAATCTCAGGTCAGATGGTAGTAGTTGAAGTTAAATTGATCAATTAAAACTTGTGTGAAACGTCTCAAGGAAAGCTTTGAAGATGCTTCAAGTGACCGAGCTTGCTATCACAGTTTTTTTAATCTTATAAACATTTCGTGGTCTACTTATCTTTCTGATCTTCTAATAGTTTTAGAATTTATTTTTAAAACATAATATATTACGTGTGGTGACGGATTAAGAATACAGAGGGTCTCATCCCGGGGGTGTCATAAAAGCCGACTAAGGGATTAAACTACGCAGAACAACAAGACTGCAAAGAGAAGGAAAACTTTTAACAAACCCTATACCAACCCGTCTGGCCAGCGGGGTATAGTAGGCCAAAACCTCTTTTCTGAGAAGAGGCTTATGTCCAGCAGTGGACTATTAAAGGCTGTTGATGATGATGATGATATTACGCAATAAGGACATTTAGAAACCTATGCATATAAGTAAGTTATTCAAGTTTGCGATGAGTTATATAATTAGACCGTACAGCTTTCCATGCAATAAATAAGGAAATCAATAAACCCTTTGTACAAATTCGTAGAAAGTTTAAAATATATAAATATTTGACTATCTAATGTGCCTATCATGCAAAAATAAGCCTTAGATGTAACTTGGCACTTCGCCAGAAGTGACAACATTACGTTCTGAGATACCTACCATTCGTGTTGAATATGTACTTTTATCAATATGATGGACTTCAATGAGAAAGGAGCCTTAATGATACAGAGCAAAAAAAGTACTCTCATTGCAGAAAATATCTGCAATAAGGGTACTTTTCTTTATTTAGAATCGCCGTCATCGGTTGAAGCTTGAGTTTACATTTAATTTTTATTAATTAAATAGCAAACTTACGATAAATATGATTAGCATTAGCTTTAATAGGGTGCTTTGTGCTATAACCATTATTATTATTATTATTAATACTGGAATGTGTGTCGTACTGCTTTCTAACTTTTCTAAATGATATGAAAAATGACAATTGAAAAGAAGTCTTTATAATGCCTTATATAAAGTTTAAAAAAAGGGGTTTTTCTACACATTGTTTATTTTAGTTTTAATTAACTTTGAGACTCCCTTTAAAAACCGATTCGACCTGTTTTAGAACTATGTCGTCATATGTCAATATACTCGTAATTTAAGGCAGTCCAGTATTTTAAAATACATTTAGTAATTAAAAAGTTGTGACGGTGGTGTGATGGAAGCTGTCCGTGTGGTGACGGATTAAGAATACAGAGTGTCACCACCCCTATTCGTCCCGTGGGTGTCGTAAGAGGCGACTAAGGGAGCGAAATACGCAGGACAACAGCACTGCAGAGAGAAGGAAAACTTGACACAAACCCTATACCAACCCGTCTGGCCAGCGTGGTATAGTAGGCCAAAACCTCCTTTCTAAGGAGAGGCCTATGTCCAGCAGTGGACTGTTAAAGGCTGTTGATGTGAATTAAAAAGTTTACTTAGCAAAGGAGAAAATATTTTCTAACAAAATCTCAAACCTCAGACACTGCAATTCTAATCAAGTCTATTACGACATTAAAATTTGGCACCAGGTTTAAAAAACATCGTCCTTCTAAAGTCCAACGGTTATAAAAGAGAACAAAACCATTCCCACGTTTTGTTTAGTCTACCCTTATATGTATGTTAAAATAAAGCATTCATTCATAACAAAACAATTGGTTTTTGCATCACAAGTTAGAACTTTGCATTTAAAATATCCACATGCCTTTAGCAAAATGTTTAAAACGTCATTTACTAATGAGATTTTTTCAAACCAAATTCCTTCAAAAGCCAACTTATTTCAGGAGAGCGAACATTTTTAGAGTAATCAGCCGACAGTCAGCTAGCTAGATAAAAAATAATAAATTATTGCCTGCATACCTGACGCAACTGCAAATGGGTTACCTCGCCACCATATCGAATGCTGAGAATTGATTTTCTGAATGTGATAGTTTTACTTGTGTGTTTACTAGTAATTATCTTCATATTTTAAGTCAAATGGTTCTTTTTGCTCTTTTATTAATATTTCTTTTCGAAAAAAGTGATCAACAACGCAAGTGATGTTTCTCTTATTAACTCTGAGATTCTATAACCAGAGCATCAAATGAATTCTTGAAAATTATCTGTACAATAAATAACTAATTTAATATTGTTAATATTTATTTTTAAGGGCCTCTTTAAAACGCTTGTTTCAGATTGGTATCCAAATTTAACAAAAATATAAAATTATCTCCAAAACTTAACAGACAAATAAATTTATCGTACTATAAAGTAATTAATAATAAGCGGACGTATTCATACTATGTCAAATATGAACGACCATATCGTGCCAATAACGCTTAAACAACTATAAAATATGTCATTTCCTGGATGCCTTTGATGTATTTTGCAAATAAAATGAACGTGCACACGATCAAAAATGATAAAACCAAATAATGTATAGAGTGCTGGTAATTTTGTTCATTTTAAAACAATGCTGTGGATTTTTGATATTGAGGAATGGCTCTCTTGAAGCAAATACGTTGATAACATTTAATGAGCCTGTGAATGATAAACCTTTACCCATATACTTTGATTGGAGAAGTAAGAATGCGGTGTCACCTGTCAAAGACCAGAAGAATTGCAACGCCTGTTGGGCGTTTTCAGTCATAGGTGAGTTATTCGTCTTTTATCAGGTATGTCCATGTAGTAATGGATTATGAATACGTAGTGTCGCAATCCGTAATTATCCCGTAAGTGTCGTAAGATTCGACTTATGGAGTAAACTACCAGTCCTGCGTAGTTGAAGCACTAACTTGAAGGAAAACTTAACACAAACCCTTTACCAACCCGTCTGGCCAGCGTGTTATAGTAGGCCAAAACCTTTCTATGGTGAGGTCTATATGGACTATTAATGGCCGTTGCGTGCATATATATTTCACCTGATACAAAATTGCGCATTTTTTTATGTCATGTTAGTTTTACTACTAAAATGTTGATATTGCATATTGGGATTGGCCTATGTTCAGCAAACAGGCTTCTCGTTATATTTAAACTTAAAATCAAGCTCAAATTTCTTTATTTCATCAAAAAATTAAAATTGATTGATGAATAGGGGTGGTGACTAAATAATGTACTATGATTGAATTTTGTACAAGTATTCAAGTTCATACTACAAGGCGAACTCATTATGGGTAATGTCAATTTGCCCAATAGAAGCAATAGTTTTAGCCAAGCTCTTGGCTCATCATCTCTACCTACCCTTATCCCAATTTTATTGGGATAAGCCGTAATTGAAAAATGATTTGATAGCGAAACTGATATCTGTCTCTTATATTAATTGGAAAGGTAATGTCTACCTTTTGTCAGTTGTTACTAACAAGCTTGTTAGTGTCAATTAAATGTAATTTATTATAATAGGGCCCATTTATTTCGCAACTTAAATTGTGCATCATTATATTTAGATTATGTCCAATATTTTTTCCTCCTGTGACAACCCTTTAGTAATGATTAAAAATAAACTGTTTTTTTATTATTAATATTTCCCCTGTTACCAGCAAAAATGACCAATGAAGTATTTATGTACGAGTATGTATTTAATTTATTTTAGAATTTAAAACCTTTGTTATAATATCGTTAAGAATAGACTGAGGCATACAACAATTACTGAATTAATGTCCAAAGTGTGTGTTTAACATTAAGGGACCCATGCCCTTTCCAATTTCATCACTAGGCACACATTGCTATGTTTTGATTTTTGTACAGTTTGTATTTTTGTATAGGGGAATCCTTAATTTCAGGTAAAATAATTGTGTTAGCGAGGTGTGTGGCAGCGAGGAAGGATTATCTGCCTTGGAGCTGTCTAGAGAACACAATGACTCATTACAATTGCAGGAGTTTACCAACCTGCCAATAGCCAGCACCTGCTCCCTGCTTTGTTTTTGAGATATTTCATACTTATAATTATTTTTTTCAAGTTGTCCATGAAAACGGTCTATTTCACGTTGCAAATCCCGTGTATCGTTTACATATTGACTTGACATGTTGTCTAGTTCTATGGAGTAGGTACATAGTCATCTGATTAATCTGTCTATTAAGTGACTATCAATAAAAAAAATATGTTTGTGAATTATTTTCTTAGTTTTTGTTACGATTTTTTTTAATTTAAAGTATTTCTTTCATTTTTTTCAAGCTACATTTAACAATTCTGCTATATTTTCAAGTACTAGTGTCACCCTCACCTGTGAGATCTATTACTATGGATTAATGAAGACTATCTACTACAGCCTGATCCAGCCCGGAGGCAAGCAACTCCTAGAACAAACTTGGTCGGAAGCCATTAACTTGTTGTAGTTATGAGCATCAATTCTTGATAGTTTTTCTTCTCCTTGGTGTAGTTGGTGTTCTAGCTTCCTAATCCTATTCAGGATTGCTCATACTCATCCCTACATATTTCCAAGCTGTCAACAAGGAGTTTGAGCTTGTTCCGGGTATCAACAGAAACTGTAAATCGACCGTGCAACAGAGACATTTCTTTTCTAAGTTTCTCATTCCCGTTCAATATCTCAAGGAAGTTCCCTTTCATTGTCATCACTTTCTCCAATTAGTTGATCCTATCTCCGATGAGATGATATTGATTGATGATACTCCACAGAAATCTTTAAAATATTTCCAGCAATGCCTCCGGTAACTGAGATTACCGGAGGCATTGCTTGATGATGATTATGATAGTTCGTTGAAACTGTCTATCAAAACATTTGTTAGTTCTGACCGACTGTAATTGTAAACTACATTGCTAAGAGTTGGCCAGGTGCTGGCTACTCTGGGGTGCGTGGTCCGGAACCTCCTTGTGGTGCACCCTGGGCAACGGGGACGGCAGCGCCTCTCTCCCTAGGTGGGAGAGGCGCTGCCGCCTGCGGCCAATTCCGGCCGAGGTGGGAACGGCCCGTCAAGGGCTGTTCGGAGGGCTGCTTTCCGCATGTCCCTCTGTTTGGCAGAGGGCATAGGGGAGAGCGGGCTGGGGGCGGACGGGTCCACTGCCGCTGGCTCTGTCCAGAGGTGGTGGACACTGGTCTGACGCAGACCACCGTCCGGCCATGTCGTAACCCTGACTGGCAACAGTCAGGAATGACGGCTCTTCGAGGGCTACGAGGAAGGCAACCTCTATAAAAAACCCTGGGGCGGACGGACCCGGTCTGGTGCAGACCCCGTCCGGCCCAGCCGTAATCCTGAATGGACAGGACCGGTGGATCTTCTCGGATCCGCGAGGACGTAAACCTCTATAAAAAATGCTCTAAGCCCACGTTCTGACGCCTGGCAAGGGGCTGAGTCGCTGGAGGGAGTCCAGTGCCGAAGGCGTCCCCGTCGAAGGACGTAAAACTTACAAAATGACATGAGGCCAACTACAGAGAAATCTACCCAGGAGGGTACCGGGCACACAGTGTCTGGGGAATCCCTCCCGGAGCCAAACGGCTCCGGCAGCTCCCACTCGTATTCTGGGGGGAGCACCAAATGTCAAACCTGCCCGTCGCCGAGCAGTAAATCCGGCGACGTTATCGCGGAGGACGCGAGAAACCTGGAGGTAGTGTCGAACACCGACACTGCCTCGGAGAGGAGCGGAGCGAGTACCCCTATGGTCTCAGCTGTGGAGCAGCACCAGAAGGGTACTCCAAAGCGCAAAAGGCGCTCACTTCGCCTGGGCCTGAAGAGGCAATTGGAGTCGGCCTCGAGCGATGAAGCCTCGGCTCCCAAAGTCGGCACAAGCCGCAGAGGCGCTCGCGGCGGAGGCCAACTCCCCAAGGCCATGGTGGCCCGAAAGAAGGTGGCAGTCCAGTCCGCGGCTCTGGGAGGAGCCGAAGATGGGGGTCTTGGACGGAGAAATCAGGAGGGGGTCGCGTCCGAGATGTCGACCACTGATGTGGGGAGCGGGGGTGGGGGTGCTGGCCTCGTTGAGCTACGAGGCAAAACCGGCAACCCCGTCGACCGAATCGAGGAGGCAATCGGCGCGGCCGATTCCTTGCTTCAGACGTCCGGTGTGGCCGGGGGCCCCCAACAGGAGGCCCTGGTAGCGGTCGTGCGCTCCATAATCGAGGCGGGCAGACTCCTTGTGGCCGAGAGCAGGGCCCACGCTAGAGAGAGAGCCCGCCTCGAGGCGGATCTCGCCAAGGCTCGTGCCCACGCTGGTGCCACACCAGCGTCTTCGGCACCTGTGGCGTTGTCCGCCCGTAAGGAGCCGGACTTAGTCCGACTCGTGGCGGAGATGGAGGAGCGTATAATGAGGCGCATCTCCGCAATAGAGAGCGCCCGTTGTCGCCCACCTCTGGCTCCGCCAAGGGCAACCTATGCGGCCGCTGCCAGGGCGGGCCTAACAGCCCAGCCAGCAGCTGGGGTGGCTGGGCCGTCATCAGCGCCCCCGCCCCAGAAGACCGGAAAGGGCAAAGGGAGGGGGAAGGCGGCCCCAACCCAAGCCCCAGTCTCGGCCCCGGCTGACACCGCACAGCGCTCGTTGGAGCGGGGCTGGACGGTGGCCGGGGACAACAAAAAGAGGCGGAAGGCCGCCAAAAAAGCGGCCAAGAAGGCGAGGAGGGACGCCGCCGCCGCCGCGAAGGGAGCGCCGAGGAAGCTCCGCGCCCCTCGCTCCTCGGCCGTCGTTATCACTTTGACGGCGGAGGCAGCGGAGAGGGGCGTGGAGTACGCCGAGGTCTTGACGAAAGTCAAGGCCAACGTGGACCTCAAAGCCCTCGAGATTCCGGGCGTCCGGTGTAAAAACACACGGACGGGAGCCCGGCTCCTCGAGGTCGCCGGCGCTACCAGTGGCCCCAAAGCCGACGCCCTAGCGGCTAAGCTGAGGGAGTCACTGGATGCAGCTGACGTCGGAGTGTCCAGACCCACTAAATGCGCAGAAGTTCGCATTACGGGCCTGGACGACTCTGTCACGGCGGACGAGCTCAGACTCGCCGTGGCGGAGACGGGAAGCTGCCCTCTGGACAGCGTGAAGGCCGGAGCAATACGCTTCGGCCCCGGTGGACAGGGGGCAGCGGTTGTCAGCTGCCCCATCGCGGCGGCCCAGAAGGTCGCCGATGGACGGAGCCTCCTGGTTGGAGGTTTCCTGAGGGCGCAGGCACGACTCCTGCAGGCCCGACCGGCAAGGTGCTTCAGGTGCCTGTCGGTGGGTCACGTAGGGGTGCACTGCACGGCGGAGGCCACCGTAGGTGACCGATGCTTCCGCTGTGGCCAGCCCGGTCACAAGGCGGGTGGCTGCAACGCTCCGCTGCGTTGCTTTAGGTGCGCAGCGGGGGCCAAGCCTGCCGACCACCGGGTTGGTGGTAAGGCCTGTGCCCTATCGCGACCGAAGCCGGGAGGCCGACCTTCCGCCTCCGAGCCGCTGATCCAGACGGAGAGTGCCGCTGGACAGCCGCAAAGTTCGCTGCGGGATGCGGGGATGGAAGTCCAGTGATGGATCCACATCTCCGCATCCTCCAGGTAAACGTAGGCCACGGTGCCGATGCTCAGGATCTTCTGCTCCAGAGCATGGCACAGTGGTCCATCAACATCGCCGCTATCGCCGAGCCATATGTCCATCGGTTTCTCGGGCCTGCCTGGGAGACCGACTTGGACGGCACGGCGGCCCTGGTGCACGGTACCGCAGCCGGCACTCCACCTCTTGCAGTAGTTGCAAGGGGACGGGGCTGTGTAGCGGCGATAGTTGGAGATATAGCGGTCGTGGCCGCTTATTTCACGCCGAACCGAAACCTAACTGAGTACGAGCAATGGCTCGCTCAGTTGGCCGTCGTCGTCGATGCCTGTCGCCCCCACCCGGTTCTTGTGCTGGGGGACTTCAACGCCTGGTCGCAGGCTTGGGGTTCCCTGCGCACGAACCCGAGGGGCAGGGCATTGGAGAACTGGGCTGAAAGATTCGGCCTAGTTCTCCTAAACCGGGGGGCCGTGGCCACGTTCGTGACGGCGAGGGGTAGTTCGATCGTGGACATCTCGTTCGCATGCCCCTCGCTAGCGCGTCGTGTCCAAGGCTGGCGCGTCGTTGTCGGGGAGGAGACAGGTTCGGATCACCGATATATTCGGTTTGACGTCTCCGCCCCTGCAGATGGCGCGCCGGTCAGACCGGCACCACCTGAACCACGTTGGGCGCTCAAGCGCTTAGATCGCGACCTCCTCCTGGAAGCCGCCATCGTACAGGCCTGGGCTCCTGCGCCGGACAGGCCTGTCGACGTCGATGCTGAAGCACAGTGGTTCCGGGAGGCCATGACCCGCGTCTGCGATGCGGCGATGCCTAGGGCTCAGCCCAATACTGCAAGGCGCCAGGTCTACTGGTGGTCGGCGGAGATCGCACGGCTGCGTCAAGCCTGCGTGACCGCGCGCCGCCAGTGGTCCAGGTTCCGCAGGAGGCGTCGCCGCCCCGAAGATGCGGCAGCGAGAGGGGCGGAGCTGTTAGCGGGTTACAGGGTTGCCAAGAGGACCCTTCAGGCAGCGATAAAGCGGGCCAACCGTATGGTATGGTGGGGACGCCCCTACCGTATGGTTAGGGGCAAGATGCGCCCATGGGCCCCGCCGCTCACACGGTGTCTTCAGCCAGAGCTGCTTGAGAGGGTCGTTGGCTCCCTGTTCCCAACGCGAGTGGTGGAGCATACTCCGCCACAGATGGCTCCGCCTCCGGCGCTTGAGGCGCCTAACGTGGATGACGACGACGTGCCTGAGGTCACTGGTGTGGAACTAAGGGTGGCGGTGTTACGGCTTAAAGCCAAAAACACCGCCCCGGGACCCGATGGCATTCCTGGCCGAGCGTGGGTCCTGGCCTTAGTCGACGAGGCTCTCGAGCCCCGACTGCGAGGGTTCTTCAGCGCATGCCTCGAGCGGGGCCAGTTTCCGAAATTGTGGAGGACGGGGAAACTGGTCCTCATCCGAAAGGAGGGGCGCCCGGCGGACTCACCGTCCGCCTACCGGCCCATAGTGTTGCTTGACGAGGTGTGCAAGCTCTTTGAAAGAGTGATTGCAAGGCGCCTCGTCAAGCATCTCGTGATGGTTGGGCCGGATCTGGCGGACAACCAGTACGGTTTCCGTCAGGGGCGCTCCACCGTGGATGCGATCATGCGCGTGAAGGCTCTGGCGGAGGAAGCAGTCTCCCGGGGTGAAGTGGTGTTGGCGGTGTCCTTGGACATCGCCAACGCGTTCAACACTATGCCCTGGAGCTGCATCAGGGAGGCGCTCGTGTATCACGAAGTGCCTCTCTACCTCCGCCGCATAGTCGGGGCATATTTGTCGGAGAGAGCCGTCGTCTACCCCAGTAGGACCGGTCTCGGTAGGCGTGAAATGTCGTGCGGTGTTCCACAGGGGTCGGTGTTAGGGCCACTCTTGTGGAACATCGGCTACGACTGGGTGCTTCGTGGTACCTTCTTGGACGGTGTCGCCGTCGTGTGCTACGCGGACGGCAAGACGCACCACGAGGCAACCCTGAGGGCCACGGCCGGGGTTGCCCAAGTCGTTGAGCGTATCCGGCGGCTGGGTCTCGAGGTGGCTCTGCACAAGTCCGAGGCCCTGTTCTTCCACGGGCTTCGGAGGAAGCCGCCTGAGGGATCTAGCCTCACGGTAGGAGGCATTCGCATCGGCATCGAGCCCTCGATCAGGTATCTGGGGCTCGTACTCGATGGCCGATGGGACTTCGGATATCATTTCCGAGGTCTGGTCCCCAAGTTGGTTGGGGCAGCGCGTGCGTTGGCGCGGCTGCTGCCCAACATGAAGGGACCCGATGACTCCTGCAGGAGACTCTACTCGGGGGTTGTGCGGTCCATGGCCCTTTACGGGTGCCCGGTATGGGCGGGGGCCCTGAAGGCCAGCAACGTCGCGATACTGCGACGACCGCAGCGAATGCTGGCCATCAGGATCATAAGGGGGTACCGCACGATCTCCTTTGAGGCAGCGAGTCTCCTGGCCGGAACTCCACCGTGGGACCTGGAGGCGAGAGCCCTTGCGGCACTGTATCAGTGGCGCAAGGAGGCGCAGGAGTTGGGTCGATGCCCCGAGATTCGAGAAATCGATGACCGGAAATCCCAACTCCGCCAGGTCATCATAGGGGAGTGGAGGGAACGACTCGGGCAACCGAGCGCTGGGCACGCCGTCATTGCGGCGGTAAGACCCGTTATGGAGGATTGGCTCGAGAGGCGTCACGGGACCCTCTCATACCGATTGACGCAGGTGATCACTGGCAAGGGATGTTTCGGAGATCACCTGTGTCTGATCCGCAAGGAGCCAACGCCTGAGTGCCACCACTGCGATGGCCAGACCGTGGACACGGCTCTCCACACGCTGGCAGAGTGCCCGGCGTGGGTTGAGCAGAGGCGAGACCTCGTGGCGGCCATCGGAGTGGGAGTTCTCTCGCTCGATAGCCTGATTGCGGCTATCGTGCGGAGCGAGAGTGCGTGGAACTCTGCCGTCTCCTTCTGCGAGCAAGTTATGCTCGCGAAGGAGACGGCGGAGCGGGACCGGGAGAGGTTTAGAACTCTCCCGGCCCGCCAGGCCCGGGCACGGGCCAGGCAGCGCAGGCGACTCAGGCGCCGGAGGTCGCAGAACGACCTCCGTCCTCCATAAGCGCAGGCCTGGGGGTGACAGGTGAGGCCATCTGTCACCCTAGCAGAAGCAGGCCGGGGTGGCGGCGAGCGCGTTGCGAAGCGCGCTCGCTTCCAGGGAGCACAGGGAACATGGGGTTCCCACACGGGGCGGGGGTCGTCTACTCGTCTGTAGATGACCCGAGGTATGTCGGGGCACCAGGGCCTTCCTTTCTAGGGTATACCTGGTTCCCCGGCAATTAGTACCCGGCGAAGGCGTGCGGTTTTAGTCGGTTCGAGTCCGACATGCCACCGACAGGTGGTATCCGAGGGGATTTCCGCACGAAAAAAAAAAAAAAAAAAAAAAAAAAAAAAGGTGCTGGCTACTCTTAACGATAACTCGATAACAAACAAGGCGAATTTCTTTTACTGTCTAAAATCTGACATTACAAGTACAATAGTCATAAATTAAATAAACTCATCAGTCAGTTCAGGCGGAGTTCAGGAACCTAGTCCGACAGTCATAAAAAGAGTTAGCTATGTGTCCTAATTATACTTTATTGTTGACTAGCCAGCTCAACTCCAGCCTTAACTTTTTAATAATTTACTATTGCCTTTGAATATAATAAGACGTGCGTGACGTAACCAGTCCAACATTTCGTCAACATTCAAACACTGCAGTTGTGCCTGTATTGGTGCATTTGAAATGACTCCAAAACGATACTAATACTATTATTAGATGAAGGAAAATTTTAAGCACTTTTTGACAAAGGCTCTTCAACTATTAGTTACATGGATTTCACTTTGTTTGATCTTGTAAAAAGATTTAGCATTGACATCAATTGCCAAGTCTTCGGGGAATATTAGAAAATGAATAGAATTCAAATATATTCTGTCCAAACACATATATCTCTACTATTCCAAGTTTATGTTATGCTTCAATTAAAAGTCTATTAGTAATTTAGTAAAATTCTTCTTTTTACTTTGTTTCATAGCAAATATTGAGAGTCAATTAAAGATATACAAGAATGATGAAAAGCTAATGTCAGAACAATTTCTTATTGATTGTGATCATGACCAGGAAGGATGTAAGACAGGGTCTATCACAAGTGCTTTTGCGTAAGTAGCAGCTTGTACATATATGTATATTATTATGAGAAAAATATTTATTCTTTTAATTTTGACGTTGTTGTTGTTAACCGAATCCCCGTTACCGCTAAATATGTGGGTGTAATTTTGTCACAACAATTTCATCTGTCTAACCATATTTTAGTTGCTACAAATCGGCTTTGATAGTCCTACATTTAGTACTGGAATTTCATGCTTCATAAACATTAACTAAATGAAAGTTCTTTCCAAAACCAATTATATGTTCATCAACTTACAATACTTCAACAAATTACAACAACAACAATAGTTCTGTTTCAAATCTTATTTTAAACTAGCTGACCCGGAAGACTGCGTACTGCCTCAATTGATAAATAAAAGACTTAAACTTTTGTATAAAATAAACAAACAAAAGGAATCCTTTTTTTATGAAAACAATTAAAAAATGCACGGAATTAAAAAAATAATAGATCATTTTCATATTTTTTTCACCTTTTAAACCTTTTCTGGACTTCCACAAATAATTCAAGACCAAAATTAGCCAAATCGGTCCAGCCGTTCTCGAGTTTTAGCGAGACTAACGAACAGCAATTCATTTTTATATATATAGAGATTATTCATGGCTTGTTTTTTATAAACTAAGGTAGCCCATGCTCTCATTGATTCGTTGTAGAACTTTTCAATAATAAAAAAATGGTTTGTTGGTGTCATAATAAAAGTAATTTTAATTTATTAGCTTTGTGGAAGAATGATTGGGGTATTACGAGTGACTGTCCACTATTGCTTATACTGTTGGTAATCAATCAGGGCCTGAATAATTTACCTCTTGTACTGCATGCTGATTTTATCTTTTCAGAAACATTGTCACTCGGTTTGGTGGTGTACTTCTGGAAAAAGATTATCCATATCAGAATGGTCAGCAAAAATGCACAGCACCTAATCCTCCTCCGTATTTAGTCAAGGTTACTGGTTTCAAAAGAGTAAGCAGTGATGAAGAGGAAATGGCTAAAGCTGTTTTCCATTTTGGACCGTTATCAGCAGGTAATAATAATGTGCCTCGTGTTATGAGTGATTTAAGTCTTATTGTACCCTTTTTGTGATTTTTACATAGAATTTTTCAGTTTTTTTTTGTCTAACTTACGTTCTTTTATCTACTATCGTTTAGGAGATAATTTTGTGCAAATTGATATAACTAGCAGGATTCTTGTTAAAAATTCGTGAATATAGACGCTAAATGATTGCTGCCCACAATATTTTTTATGCTTCGTGGTATAAGTGTGATTCTAATAAATGTCACATTTTAAGTCAATTTATAATGAATAATGATATAATTAGAGTTGTATCACTGTAAACAGATCCGAATCTAAACTTCGAAATAAAAATCCGAATCTAAAAGACCAAGATTTTAGCAAACTGATATAATTCAGATAAAATATGCAAACAACTAAGTAAAAAACCTTATATTTGGGGTAGCATTTAATCGTTTGTTTGAGCAACTTAGCACTAGGAATGATCCTAGCGCTAAGTTGCTTAAGTGTGAGCACTTGTGGTATGTGCTCCACTGTTTCATCTAAACTTTAATAAAGCAAATATTAGTATTAGGCAAACGTAGTGTAGGGCGGACTTGAGAAAAATGGCTGGCAGCGGATGGATGCTGCTACGGACGGATGGCTATAGGCTGAAGAATAAGAGTTAAAAATAAACACATTTTTTATCATCGTATTCATTTACAGCATCTTAATTATCTTGGTCTTTTAGTCTTTTAAAAAAAAGGGAGGATCCGATATTCCGACCAGGCGCGGGGGCCCATTGATGCTGTTGGGAAGTTTTATATCAATACATATTGACATGAGAACTATCATTATGCGATGCAGCATTTGTAGTTACTTCGTAGTTCAGAATGTCTTCGTTAGATGGCACAGAAGTATGTTTTTACTTCTTATTGAAACCAGATGAGTGTCTGGTCCAGATTCAAAATTATTCAGGTTCAAATTAAAATTTTGTAACTATGTTTATATTATTCATTTCAGCTATCAATGCAGCTTCGATGAGACATTACAAATCAAATATTATAGATGAGCCATCAGATAAGGACTGCAATCCTAATGATCTGGATCATGCTGTTTTGATAGTTGGTTACAATGTGTATGGTGCGTACCAATAGTATACTTTTTATTTTACCAATTTGGAAATGAAATTATAAACCCTAATCCGTTGTCAAAGGATTTCAAATACGTTGCTCCTATTACAACGTTTAAGGTTATACGTTTCATTATATATGACCAGCGGCCAGCCAGCGTGGATGTTAGTTATCGCGATAAAAAGTAGCTTATGTTACTCGCTGAGAATAAAAACGGGTTAATGGCTTAGGGCGTGAAATCGTAACAAATAAACGAAAAAACTCACTTTCACATTCATAAGTAATGATATAAGTAAAATGCGCAAACAGTGGTAACAGGCTGACTAAGGCAGTGGACCTTCACTTCTTATCCCTAAGAGTCTGGCAGTAGACGGTAACAGTCTTGGCCATTTTAAGATACTAGGCAAAATGCTAAATTTCAAAAGCCTCTACTTACCCCTCAACAAATATAGGCGAGAGTGTTACTGATCTGTTGAGACCAACAGATCAGTAACTCTCGTTCTCAACAGTGGTTAGGGACCTTGACCGCTAACCCAGATGTCTTGGGTTTGACCCAGATGTCTTGGGTCTTGTTTAAATTTATTAGTCCTGAGTGGGAACTCAGGACTAATAAATTTGATGGATACGATCATTTGTTTTGTTTCTGAGTGTGATTGTGTATTACCTGTATTTATATTATGTATGTATTTAGAAATATATATATATTTGTCAGCAGTCTGGTTACCATAGTACGGGTGCTGTAAACTTTTTTTTTAAAGGTCTACTAGCAACCGAAATTACTAATATTCCCGTTAACCCCTCCCACTGCGCTAAATTGCTTGTGTTAGGATTGGGTTCACGTCGCTAGTGTACGGTTCAGGATCTGAACCAACGTCCTCTTGATTGCAAGTCCAACGCCTTAACCACTAGGCTACCGATGCTTTAATTATTTTTATATTATAAGATTATTATTATTAGTGTATGTGTGAGGTTTGTATTATAAGAAGGTTAAAATACAACTACTAAAAACACATTTATTGCAGTTGATACACATGGCCGCGAAACTCCTTACTGGATAATAAAGAACTCCTGGGGCGAAGATTGGGGCGACAAGGGATATTACTACTTGGTGCGTGGGCGTAATGCATGCGGTATCGCCTCAGATGTGTCCTTTTCTGTAGTAACTTGAAGTTAAGAAAACTTTTAGTAGATTTAATAAATAAATGTGTTGATGATGTTGAATTTTAAGAATTTACCCTTCTTATACCTAATGTGAGCGGCTTTTTTTTATAACAAATCCCAACCTTGTGATTTCGAAATGTAATTATTTTTTAGGGTTCCGTACCTCTAAAGGTAAAAAAGGAACCCTTATAAGATCACTTTCTTGTCGGTCTGTCCGTGTGTCACCACCGATTCTCTCAGGAACGGGTAAAACTAGCAAGTTGAAATTTATACCAGATGCTGAGGTCTATGGTCCCTATTAGGTATATAAAAATCAATGTCCTGAGTAAACACTATAAAAAGATATGGGCAAATTTCGATTTTCGAAAACTTGTAAGTACCAATATTTACCTTAATTTTCAACTTTTTTTTTCAGAATTTTCTCTTTACTTGTGCTATAAGACGCTCGCTTTTAACCAAAATTGACAATGCTAGGTCAACCGGAATTACCCTATAGGTTTTGGGTCAAAAACCTATATGGTAGTTCCCGTTGACCTAGAATCACGAAATTTTGCAAAAAGAAACGTCTTACAGCTCAAATCAAGGAATAATTCCAACAAATAAAAAAAGTTGAAAATTAAGATAAATTTTGGTACTTAGAAATTTTCGCGAACATCTATGTAAAATCATGGTAAGTACGGAACCCTCGGTGCACGAGTTCGACTTGTACCTGACCGTTTTTTTTAGTTTTACTTATTGAATCCGGTTAGTATGAATTTTAGTTTTGCAGTTGAATCTAGTGATTAAAGTAGCTAGGTACTATTCTCTAATGTAAAATAAAAAAAGTAACTAAGACCTCAGAACTTTTAAACTATTATCCCACGTTTTAAACGACTTCAACACAAAAAGACTTCGACAAAAGAGGAGGTTCTCAATTCGGCTGTCTGTTTTTTTTAATGTTTGTTACCTAGAACTCCGTCATTTAAGAGATTCAGCAAATTCATTTTTTATTTAAATACTTTCCGTTTGGCGCCATTCCGATTTAAAAAAAAAAACAACCCATAAAGGTCAAAATTAAGGAATGAAGAATAAAGTTAATTACAATTTAACAAGATGTAGGCGCAATGTAGTCGTTTTTTTTTTTTTAAAGTGAATATTTCGTAAAATTAGGTTCCAATCTTTCGGCTCTGTTGCAAGTGACATAATCACGGATGAACAGTTCATCAGCATGGTAATAAACATTATAAATATTCCGTTTATAATAACTTATCCACTGTAAATGACCATAGTAATTTCAATTTCATCACCATCGTTCAAATTGAAAATCAATAACTCTGGTGGGCACTGAAAATCAGTACTGGGGCGGACCATGTCCATCACAGTAAATGCTGAGGGTCCACCTATTCTGTGGGACACAGCGTACAACTCTCATCCACACAAGCTATCTATCTATGTGGTTAAGATTGAGAGGCCTGCTTGGTTACATGCAAAACATAGTAACCTAAAATAATAGTGATCACCACGTCAAATATGATCACAGTCTCACAGACAACTCATGACCACAGATAGCGTAGTATAGTGTTGCACGGAAAAAAACTGTTAAAAATGTAATATTATTGTAAGTTGCATTAAGTTACCAATTTATATACAGTTGTATGCTGTGTTTTCTTACTTACTTATTTTTATTTTTTTAAATTTAACTGGGGCAAGACCATCAAGTCAGGGACCTCAACTCACTAACTCTTAAAGTGGAGTAAAGAAAAATGATGTAAACGTCAAAAAATACTTTCATTCACATTTCTATTATTACATTCAGAAAGTGGGACTAAAATTGTATGTGTCCACAAAGACATTGGCGGTTGAAAATATCCTGAATGGCTTCGTGAAAAAGATGGTACGCCAGGGTCACCGGAGGAGGGGGGGGGGGTTATATCAAATAATAATTTAACGTCTATAAAGATATTATGGGCCTAATTCTTGCTAGACGCCCACTGTTCCAACTTGTTTCAACAGCAGGGTCACTGCTGTTGAAACAAGTTGGAACAGTGGGCGTCTAACAACTAACGTCTAACTACTACCTAACGTATAACTAACACACCAAGTTATGACACTCGGGAAGTCCCAGGAGAAGTTAACCCTATTCATCCCGTGGGCGTCTTAAGAGCCAGCTAAGGGAGCAAACTACGTAGGACAACAGCACTGCAAAGAGAAGGAAAACTTGAAACAAACCCTATATCAACCCGTCTGGTCAGCGTGGTACAGTAGGCCAAAATCTTTTGTCTAAGGAGAGGCCTATGTCCAGCAGTGGACTGTTACAGGCTGTTGATGATGATGATAAATATAAGAAATTCACGTAAGTAACACACTATAGTATCGATATGTGAAATATTTTTCCTTAACAAAGTTTTGACTATTTATCATTCCACCTTAAATCCTATATAAAATGTTTTACCGTGTCTAAATCCCGCATAAAATTTAAAAAATTTATTGGTTGTAAAATATTTCAGAATTTTAAAAGTATTTATTTCGATAAAATTCCTGGCATAATAAGATATTAAAAATACTGAAACGTATTCGCGCAATGTGAATTGTGTAAATTAGAATCATTCAAAGTGCCGTAAAAAGAACAGTAAAACATAGCATTACGTGAATGCCTTTGAATGCGATTATCTTTAAAACGAACATTTTCACAGAGTTTCGATGTATACTGTTAACTAAAACAGTACATATTGTTATTTATTTTAAAATATTGTCGTGGGTTTGTTACGTGGGGAAATGTTTTGTAAGAAATCGGTTTGAGAAAATCATTTTATGAAAATTTTGCTGATGAATGTTCGTTGCGAATCACTTCGACTGGAGAGACAGGAATGCGATTTTACCTATGAAAGATCAACAGCAATGCAGCGCATTCTAGGCTTTCGCAGTCATAGGTAAATACAAGATCTGTCATAAATTTTGCAAGAGTTATCATCATCAAGTAAAATAGAATTTAGCAGGCATGAATGAAGGCAAGAAGAGCCTAAGTAACATGGACAATAATACTAATTTCAATGACTTCTTTAAAGTGTAAATTCGCTAATCATACTTGTTCCTAAGGCTGCCTGGTCAGTATAAATAATGCTATATTAAGAACTTAATCCATAGAATATATATAAGACAACTAAAGAAGAATCATGTTAGTATCTTACTCATAAAGAGGAGTCAAATTGTTTGTCCGTCCGTGTGGTGACGGATTAAGAATACAGAGTGTCACCACCCCTATTCATCCAGTGAGTGTCAAATAAGAGCCGACGAAGGTATAAAACTACGCAGAACAACAGCACTGCAGAGAGAATTTAAACTTGACACAAGCCCTATAACAACCCGTCTCGCCAGCGTGGTATACTAGGCCAAGACCTCCTTTCTAAGGAGAGGCCTATGTACAGCAGTGGACTATTAAAGGCTATTGATGTGATGTGAAATTGATACTTGTATATTATTACACCCAAGCTTATCTGAACTGAAGAAAAGAACTGATTACATTGCGTAGATAAAAGCTCTTGGTCGTTCAGGGTTGTTACGTGATATTACATAGTATATATTCTTTCTGAAGTAATTCTCGACACAATACACAAAGAACTTACTATTCAAATGTGACTAACAGTTCCAGAGATTAGAGAATGTGATGTAAAACTTTTCAACATTAGTGTGTGTTATGTTTCATTAGAAATAAACACTTATATTATGGATTGGAAAGTGTGTCTGTCTGTTACCTCTTCACGCATAAACCGCTCAATCGATTTAGATGAAATTTAGTATATAAATAGTTGGAGACCCGGAAAAGACATAGGTTACTTTTTATCCCAGAAATCGTCCTTTAAAGGGATGAAAAGGAGGGTGGAAGTTCGTATGGGGAATCAATTACCACTTAATAGATTTAGAAGAAATTTGGTATGGAGGTAGATTGAAAAATGCATAAGCTACTTTAAAGACGGACATAAGCTACTTTTTTAACGCAGGCGCAGCTTATAAAAGATACTAGCCTCAAAAGTAATGACCTGAATATATTTTGCACAAATATTATATTTAAATATCTACTTATATTAACATTTCAGTGTCAATAGACAATTCGTTTTTTAAACATAAAACTTTGTTAGACTTTGTATAAACAAGGCGCACAAACCTAAAATTAACAAAAACCAATCATCCTCAGTTTTCTTTACCCGGTCCATAAATATTTTAAATGAAGAAAGGATTTCATGCTTCTAGTTAAAAGTCAAACAACGATGGTAAAATTAGAGATACTTTTCTTTTAAGGTATAAATCAAATAATTGTTGCCTTACGATGCTCGAAGCTGGTAAGGTTCAAAGGACCACGTGTCATAGTCATTCATACTTCTTTTGCAATTTTCTCAGTATTAGCATTGAGTCTCGTAACGAGGAATAAAGACAATTTTGTTTTGCTTACTTATTTTATGGTATACTGCTCTGCCACTGTCTTCTTCATGTCATCTTCACCTAAGTTGTCTTCTTTACCTATTCTCCTGTCCATATAAAATTCACGTTCATTTACTTCTTATTCTCCTATTCTTCTCAGATTCTCCATCCAATCTTGATAATTGGTTTGTTTGTGGATGCAAGGAACATCGTATCCAAATTCCTCGGTGTTCTTGGCTACAATGACTATTATCCCTATGCAAATGGCCTGCGTTGATGCAGATGGCAGAAACCACCACCACGTCCTGTACTGGTGAAAGTTTACAAAAGAGTGGCACCTAATGAAGATGCTATGGTTGAAGTTCTTTCGCCCTTTAAGGCAAGAATCAGACTTAACATTTAATGTAGAAAATTATCACAAGAGCTAAATGTTTCAATAGTTGCATCCAATCAATAGATCGATTATTGGATCAGGCGGCGCTTACTATTAGTCTAACGATGTGCTCGTTTTCCTCCTAAAAGAAGTCCTTATTGTCTAAATTTAAAGATTTAAAGAATACGCAGGACAGCGAAGGAAAACTCGACACAAACCCTATACCAAGCCGTCTGGCC